ACATTCCGAGGAGAGTTGGTTCAGACAGATGTAGGCTTCTCGTTAGTAGGACTAACAACTTTCTTTTGTTCTTTAGGATTGGAAGGTTTTGGAAATTCTCTTGAGGATCATAGTAGGTGAGAAGGTGTTTTGACTTTTAGTTGATGAAGGAGTATTTCGAGATCCACTTTTTTTGGAGTTCTCAAAAAATCTAGAGGTTTGTCTTGACTTAACTTCCTTTTTGAGAGCATTCTGGGCTTCTACCTTAGGATCGACAATATCTTTCTTATTCAACAAGGGTCTTATTTTGGAAAGAGGTGAAGAGTTGGAGGCTTGTCCTACTGATGGATTGTTAAAGATAGGATTAAATGGAACTAGTTTTGTTTTGGAAATCACCTGAGGTTCAGAATCACATGAGATTGACTCTTCAACGTCATTATCTAGGTATGCCCAAATGCACTCAGAGAGTTCAGGTCCACTTGTCTCTGGAAAAATTTCCTTAACAACATAGCTGTTAGGTGGGTTGTGATTCGTATTTCGAACGACAGAGTTTGGAATACTAAAGTGGGGTTCCGAGGTCCGATTCAGGTCAATCTTTGCCATAGGCGGAAAAAGCATGGAATCAGGACACTTGACAACTCTGGGCTTAAACTCAGGAATTAGTGATGCAAATTTGTTAGAAATCACAGGAAGGGGTGACAAAGGCGAGACAGGGGTATCTGAATGTTTGATGTTCGGAACGTCTCCCATAAAAGTTAGGTTTTGTAACTCCTTCAAGGGACGAATAATAGGTTTCGGAAACTCGCTTCCGAGACTAGGTGCTTTTGACCAAGGATGACAAAAATCGTGAGTTATCCGATCATTTGCTTCAAGAATGTCAATAGAATTGTGCAAAGCATCTATTATAGCATTGATACGTTTGTTTTTCAGAAATTAAAACATTTCTTTCAGAATAAGTGATTTCACATTTGTCTTTAAGAATGATACATTCATCTTGTGACATTACAAGCTCTCGTTCTAAAGACTCTATTTTCAACTTCTTATCCTCAAAACATAATCTAAGACAACTTAATTCACTTTCCTTCTTCTCACTAGCTTCGATGACTGACTCATAGGCTTTGTAAATTGTGTTCATATCTAATTGAATCTGGGTTAGATATGGTTCACAAAGAGATAAATCAAAATTATTATTAGTAATCATAGATTTTACCTGTTGATCGATGCTTCTACCAGGTGGATCGTTGGTTTCCATGTAGAAGTAGTTTGGTTCAGCATCTTCATCATCTCTTTCAGACCCAGACGACTTATAGCCTTCATCACATTCAATGGAAAGTAGGAGGAAAATCTTGTTGGAAACATAGTTCGGAGTTCATTTCTTCAAAGTTAAGATCACCCATAGATTGATAGTTAGAGTTTATGAGAGCGTGAACAGTTGGAAGTGAGGGTTGAACATGAGGGGTATAAGGAACAATAGTAGTGAGGGGGTCCGAAGTGGTTAGGTTTGAGGTTTAAGGATCATATGAACTAACTAGAGCTAGAGGACCTCCAGTGAGTTCGTGTAGATTTTATGCAACATTTGACTCATGAACTTGAAGCTCATCGAAAAGTTGATAGAGCTTGAGCTTTTTCAGAGACCATTACTCTAAAGACATGATTTCACATTTCCCCATCCGTTTCCGAGACTGTTAATGAACTTGAGATTGTACTCAAGTGGATTTCGAACTATCCCATGAGATGTCATGTTGTTGACGATGATTCGGTATCTGTTTAAAGCTGGGGCAACGGATTCACTAGGTGTTGTAGTGAAGGTGTCGAACTCATTGACAACCGAAGTCAGGTGCTTATCCTTCATGTTTTCCGACCCATCGAACAAATCTTGAAGTGTGTCCCAAATCTCTTTTGCAGACTTACACAATTTGATGTGCTCAATAGGGATGAAAGTGGGTCCAAACCCGGACCGGATGGACCCGGACCCGGAAAACCCGGAACCGGTTAACGGGATTTTGTAGAACCGGAAACCGGACCGGTATATAGGAACCGGTTCCGGTTCGGTTTCAGGTACGGTTCCGGGTAAAGTGGATCTAGAACCGGAAAACTCGGAAACAATAAAGTGGGTAGGATGGAACCGGATAAAGTGGGTTTAGAACCGGAAAACCCGGAAAAACCGGAAAACCAGAAAAAACCAGAATTTTTTGGTAATTGCTTACTACTTAGCGGATTAAACGTTGAAAATTTTCATATTGATATCCCGACTTTGGGGGACTGTAACTCATTGAATAAGAAACTAAAATTAACAAAATTATAGCCTAAAATCATGTACAAACTCTAAAATACACTCTGGAAAAAACCGCATGTCAATCCGACTTTAAACGAATCAGATATGCATGTGTTAACATTTTCACATAATACAAAGTACAAAAACAAATTGCTGAAAAGTTGAAAATTTTCAGTTTTGATATCCCGAATTTGGAGGACTGTAAATCATTGAATGTTAAACCAAAAATGACAAAATTAAAGTCTAAACTCATGTACAAACTGTAAACTACAAGTTGCAAAAAACCACATATCAATCCGACTTCAAACGAATTAGATATGCATGTTTTAAAACTTTCACCGAATACAAAAAAACAAAAAAACTAAAAACTTCCAGCTTTGATATCTCGACTTTGGGGGACTGTAAGTCAATGAATATTAAACTAAAAATGGCAAATTTATAGTCTAAAAACATGTACAAACTCTAAACTACATGTTGGAAAAAACCGCATGTGAATCGGAGTTGAAACGAATGAGATATGCATCTTTTAAACGTTTCACAAAAACCGGTTCCGGCCCTAAAAGTGGTTCCGGTTCCGGTTTTTTGGACCCGTTTTACCCGGACCCGATGGACCCAAACCCGGATTACCCGGAACCCAGATAAAGCCAATTTTTAAACCCGGAACCGAAACCGGTTTTATATATTCCGGTTCTAACGGTTCCGGTTCCGGTCCGATTCCGGTTCCGGTCCGGGTTTCCGGTTCTAAATCTCATCCCTAGTGCTCAAAGAGAGAAGGTGGAACACCAAACACAATTTCTGAAAAGGCAACTTGATCAACATGCAACTTTTCCAGATCATCAGCAGTGAGATGTGCTTGTCGTTATTGATCCTGTCCCAAGAGAGTTATAGCAGCATCTCTAACAATGGTTCAAACTGGAACATGAGGAACTTCTTTAACGGATCTCTAGATAGATTCACATTTTTCTTTTCCAAGTAAAAATCTTTCCATTTGACTTTCCAGTGATCATACTCTTCAACAACTAGCAATGGGGCATGTGTAGGATAACCCACGGTATTTGCTATTTGCATTGAGTACATTTGTTGAGAATTAGAAGCAGCCATTGAAGTTAAGATATATTTGAGAAAAGTGGTGTATGGAAGAACTTTTATCCTGAACATAGAAATGATCGAAATACCAAGGTAATCTCGAATCAACTATAATATGTTCTTATGGATTCAAAGGACAACCACTCAAGCTCTGATACCAATTGTGAGAGCAATGATCTGATTGCACAAAGACAAGGCTTGAAAACTCAAACCTTGAGTTAATGCTTAAGATCAATGTCTGCTTCCAACTTAATGGTTCCAGTCAAGTCTGGCAAGACCAATCAAGTCTGAATATGATAATAAACATAGTACTTTAAGTATTATATATAAGATAGTGAATATGATCAAGTAAAGTCAATAAATGAACACAAGGAATGTTTGAAAGAAAGATATGAGAGAAAGGTGCAAGTGAAGTAAATATGAAAATATCTATCTTTGGTGAAGCAATCTGCCACTATGATTTGTCATTGAATGTTCATTAAATAGGAGAATGTGTTACATCGTACTAACCCAAAAGCATACATAGAACTGAATAATAGAGTTACTCGTGACACTCTGATTATCTAAGTTGACAAAATATACCAAGTCTTATGATACGTTACATCAAGCAAAATGACAAAAGTAATTAATGCAGACGAACAAACTGATTTCGGAACATCTTCACCATCTTAGTCTTCATTCACTTCGTACCATAAGCTTTTACTCCTGACGCCAAATCTTCTTCTTTATCTACTCTAGAACATCTTTCGTTCGGAACTAAGACTGATCTCGGAACATGTTGGGTGATTGTTAGAGATTCACTTTCAAGTATTATTATTATTATTATTATTATTATTATTATTATTATTATTATCATGGGAATTAGTTTAATAATAATAATAGTTAACTTATTAAAACCCAATTCTACTCAACGTTTTTAGCATTATTACAAGATATGTTGGACGTTAACATTATTTTTATTTATTTTATATATTATATAAATATTTATAAAGATCTTAAATATATTATTACAACAAAATAACTTTATAACTACTTACAACTCACGACTATATATTGAGAAAATTCGAGAAATGATCAAAAATGAGAGGTGGTTTGAAAAAAATAATCAAGAAAATACAAATTTTGGAAAATAATCAAAGGATCCGCAGAGGCATGGAAGGCTCTGTGGTATCTTTGTTTTTTTAGTTTTTAATTTTTTTTCGTTTTTTCGTTTTTTTTTTTTTTTTTTTTGCGTTCATTTTCGTTTATTAATATTAATTTTTTTTAAATACACTAATATCTTATGTGATTATTATGTAAAAAATTTGACAAAAAAAATTTAAAATAATGAAATGTTTTATGTAATACGTTTGCTACTGATGTATGTTTTCCATGTATTTTTACTGTTTTGTATTTTAAGTTATATGGAATAAAGTAGAAGTTAACTCAACTGGTTTCGTAAATAACCTAATACAAACCAAATACATATAAATAACATAATATAAACCGGTGCATATAAATAACCTAATTAAAATTATACAAATATTTCTTGTTTTTATAGGTTACAAAACATACTTTAGAAAACATAAACATACAACATTCAAAATAAACATACTATGAAATAAACTTCATTCATTCAAATCGAACCACGAAAACTTTGATTTATTTTCATATTCCGTCTATGAGTTTTATGCTGCTTGTGCCCTTAGGTTTACTGTTGCTTGCGTCCATTGGTTATCTGACTGTTGCTGTCATTGGTACTCGGTGCAACCATGTCATTGGTTTTGTGGCTCTTCCTGCGGTCGGTATTCCATCCCTTGCGTCCATTGGTTATGTGGCTGATTTTCAGTCTGTTGTGTCCATTGGTTGTCTGGTTGATGTTGCCATTGATGTTCAGTCTGTTGTATCCATTGGTTGTCTGGCTACTGCTGCCATTGTTGTTCGGTATGTTGCGTCCATTGGTTCTCTAGATCATGCTGCCATTGATTTTCGGTCACTTGCGTCGGCTCCTCTTCTTTCGCTTTTGTCCCACTCCCTAACACCCCAGTACATTTTTTACTTTTACGTTGGTTATTTGGAACGATTTCCTTACATGTCCTTGCATTATGAGTTGTGCTATGGCATCTACTACACCTTCTTATTTTTGGTTCCTCGCCTTAAGAAGGAATACGTTTGGTGTTTTTTGGTCTACCGGCTTGTCGTATTTCCATCACAGGAGGATTAATAACCATAAGGTCATCCGGAACCTCCCAATCACTAAGTTTTGAAAGAGGGTATATGGCTTGCTCATATGTTCTTCGATATGTTTCAATTTTATATGCATCTATAGCCATATGCCCACAGTGATCAATTTTCAAGTGCGTTAAAACCATTATCACATGACCACATGACAAACCAGTTAGTTGTCAATATCTGCAAGAACAAGTCTTTTCCCTCAAATTCACTATGCCACCACTTTTGAAGTCATGCACTTGATATGTTTTATTGTCAACACCGGATACCGACCATCCTTGAATCCCATCTTTATTTTTTTAATCATATCTTCAGCCCACTTCGTAAGTATTGTTGTACTTTTTCCTATTAAAACAAACATATATTATTATATATGACATTTGTCATATAATTTAAAAATAAACATAATCATACCTGCAGTCATCCGTCGTTTGTAAAACCATTTCTACATAAGTGCACGAAAGAACTCAAGAAGTGGTAATATAGGCAACTTCCTTGCTTTATTTGATACAGCATTCATGGAGTCCACACTATTTGAGATCATATAATCACACATCGTGATAGGGCAATACGCTTTGGTCTATTTCTCACGTGGAATTTGACTAAGATATGTCGCTACATTATCTCTTATATTATGAAGTCTCCCCCAATAGAATTCAAACTCAGTGGTTTTGTAAGCTTTTACCAGCTTCCAAAACAAAAATGCAATTTTTTTGTTTTTTCCAAAGGTGTGGACTATGTTTCCTATTAGATGAAAAGCACACAATCCGTGTTGATCATTTGGAAAAACATTTTGAATACTTACATCAATTGCGGGTGCCCTATCTGTGACCATTGTCAGACCTTCCACATCACCAATGCATTCATGTAGTTTTTCAAGAAACCATGTCTAAGAATCCGTAGTCTCTTTTGGGCAAATTCCATACCCAATAGGCAAGATTTGATTGTTGTCATCCATGGCCACTGCATGCAAGATGGTGCCTTTGTACTTTCCCTTCAAATGAACACCATCCATAATAATAACTTTTCTACAACACTCTCTGAAAGCACGTATCTGCAACAACAATATAAAAATCATTAATATATCAACAATATAATTTGTTTATAAACATTTAAGAAAATAACAAATATATTTAAACATATATTACCGCACATCCAATAGCGCAAAAGCAATACTCAAAACGATCCTCCGAATCAATTTTTATGTATGCCATAATACCAAGATTATGTTTCTTCAGATTATGAAAATAAACTGGAAGTTTGGAGAAACTGTCTTCGGGGGTCCCCATCAGAAATCCCAGAACAAATTCTCTAGCATGTCACGCTTGTGAATAACTCATATTTATTTGTAGCAAAACATTCATATCTCTAAGTATATCTTTAGGCATCCAAACTCTCAAACTTCCTTGACCCATAATGTCATGTATTATGGTTCCCACAACTTCGTTATTTGCTTGCCTATGATTTGAGCATATAAGTAATAAAGAACATGTATGCTCGTCATTAAACGTCAAAATTTCAAGCATTTATGTTCATTTAATGAGAGATGTGTATAAATGCCAATGACAGTTTTCTTGCCTATAAACAACCTGGTACCGAGATTTTGAAGATTTTTAAACCTTTATCTGAAACTTTTCTCTAACAGTTTTCAATTTAACAACAAATGCTAGCTCTTTTTTGGTGTTATAGGTTTGATTGACAATTAATTTATCATTCGGTCCTAAATTGTGAAATGGTCCAGGTTCAAGAATAGGTTCTGGACAATAAGGAATAGAAGGAATACAATACCATGGATTAAAAGCAGTTTTATGTTTCGTGTACTCATCATCCGACCACCATTCATTTGATTTTTCCTCACATCTTTGATCATCAACTTCAGGAATTTCTCCAAACTCAAACAAATTATGATGTTGTAATTCAGTCATGCCCACTTTTGCTTCTTTATCATTATCTGATACAAAAGTATCATTATCAATTACAAAATTATTAGTAACCGAAACTTTTTTTTTTCAAAACCCACTAACACTTCATTTCCTCTTCCCCTTGAACGGTTTCCATCACATTAGCTTTCTCTACGATCTCTATTAGTTTTTGCTTGATTAAAGTGGTTGTTAACCACTGCTTGTTCTTCAGCTTCTTCACCTACCACCGTTAAATACAAATGCACCGTCTTCTTTGATTTAGACATTACATGTCTCAATTGAAATACATCAGTTTCATCTCCAATCTCCATGACATACCCTAACTCCGGGTGCTTAAAAGACAAACATATATGACTATTTAGCACACCTGCCTTACTTCTAACCATTTGTAATAACATTTCATGGTCAATGTTAGAAGGAAGATTTAAACCATAGTTTTTCACATTATTTCTAACGTAAACCTCATCTCCATTAACTAACTGCCAAGACCCTCCAGTACACAAAATAATAAAACTCATTTTACAAATCACTCTCCACAAACACAATGAAAAAACAACTTTTACTGGTAATTGAAACCTACAAACTCACAAAAACCCACTAAAAAACGTCTATAAGTTCTATAACTAATCTGCATAGGTGTACATTGATCCGTAGAGGTATATATTGATCCGCAGAAGTGTACACTGATCCGCTGATAACAGTTCTTTGAATTCCCAAACAGTTATGTTGAGTGATATTAAACATAAGTTCATTGTTTTTAACTTTTTTTGTCAAAATTTTTACATAAAACATAATGTATTAGTATATTAAAACAAAATTAATATTAATAAACAAAAACAAAAAATAGAAAAAACGAAAAATAAAAATTAAAAAACTCAAGATCCGCAGAGGTGTTTCGGTTCATCAGAGTCAAACGTATTACATAAAATATTTTAGTATTTTTAACCTTTTTTTGTAGAACTTTTTATATAATAATCACATAAGGTGTTAGTGTATTTAAAAAAACAAAATTATTATTAATAAACGAAAATGAACAAAAAAAAAACGAAAAAAAACAAAGATTTCGTAGAGCTGTAGAGAATCCACGGAACCTTTAATGGATCCGCAGAGGATGCTCTACGGATCGTTTGGTTATTTTTCGAAATATTTTTCTTGGTTATTTACTTCAAACAAGATGTGAATTTTCCTGTGTATATTTACCCAATGATAAAAGTAATTTAATATTTTTAATTGACTTATAGATAGCTTCATGTGCCACGTATTATCAAACAAGGGTAGAAAATTCAGCCTTTTTTATGCCCGGAGGCCGGAGGCCAGATCGATCTTTATTTTGTCAAAAAAAAAAAAAAACGCATGTTCCGACCCGGTCCAGTCCAGGATGGTCCAAAAAGCCCAGCTGTACAAAATCACCAAAAAAATATACAAATGCAATAAAAAAGGGTTTTTGTTTTTTTTTTCTTCTTTTTGTTTGAAGTAATACGATTGTAACTTTTAGGTTTTTTAAGACCCTATTTAAAGTATTTGTTGGTGCATCCGTTTAAGTATAAAAATTACTACGATCTTTTGTCTACTATGTGAGGTAGACTATCAAAAAGTATTCAACATATTATTATACCATAGAAATATTTATGTTTGTAAATTCAAAAGAAAAGCATGTAAACAGAAAATTATGACCGTGGTCAAAATTAACAGTGTGTTCAATATCATTTACATGGTTCAGTCAAACAAATTAGATATGTAGAAATTAGTCAATTACAGCAAAGCGTTACAAAGTTTCTTAATCCTTAATATCTAATTGTAAAAAATTCAAGAGCAAAAAAGATCATTTTGCAATCTTTGACGCTCGAACAATAAAACTTTAGGTGCGGAATTATAAAACATAGAGAATATGATAACAACCATAATCAAGAATAAGTGGACAAAAGAAAAAAGTTGTTTCTTTTAAAACTTGAAAACAAAGCTCTAAACAAATGTGACTAACAAGAGTTTGCTGAAAGGATCTGCTTTATATTTTTACTGGTATAATGGATAAAGGATAATTGATAGATGATATTACACTTAACGTACCCCTACCCATTTTTATAGAGAAACATACTTAAAGTAAGTAAAATAGGACATGTCTAAGTTTATTACGCTTTGCTATTTTCCATGATCTTCGATTCTCATAGATTGACCAATATAAATATATAGTACATGAGATATATGGGCTACATAACAAGTTGGCTAACAAACTAATTGGGCTAATCTACAACATATACAATTAATAAAACGTATACTAATAAGCCACTACAGTTTGAGCGGGAGGTTTTAACTGTACACTTAAATTGTATTTAAATTGTATTGAAAGTCCGTGAAAATGACATGGGAAGCCTTTTGTTGAAGATATATATATATATATATATATATATATATATATATATATATATATATATATATATATATATATATATATATATATATATATATATATATATATATATATATAGGGTTAGATTAATGTGAGATGGCTTAACTTTGTGAGACTGTGAGACGCATTTTTTTATTTTTTTTTATTTTTTTTAGTTAATTCAAGTTCCGAAAATAATATTTAAAAAAATAATTTTTGGATTTTTCCATTTATTTTGCATTTAAAAATTATTTTTTAGAATATGTACAGTGTAATATTCTATTAGAATATTTCACATATTTTTCAAGAAAAATGGAATTTTGGTTTTTTATTTTTTTTTTAATTTTTTTAGTTAATTCAAGTTCCGAAAATAATATTTAAAAAAAGAATTTTTAGATTTTTCCATTTATTTTGCATTTTAAAATTATTTTTTAGAATATGTTAGTGTAATATTCTATTAGAATATTTCACGTATTTTAAAAAAAAAAAAAAACATGATTTTTTTTTTATTTTTTTTTAGTTAATTCAAGTTCTGAATATAATATTTAAAAAAAGAACTTTTGGATTTTTCCATTTACTTTGCATTTTAAAGTTATTTTTAGATTTGGTTTCACGGTCTCACAAAATTAGAATGATCGCAAATGAACCTGAACATATATATATATATATATATATATATATATA